AACAATACGCAATTATCATTCGAAGAGGGAGAACTTAAACAGGCTATTTCGTTGTTTCAAGAATATTATCAAATACAGGGCTATGGTACATTGAATAACTATACGTTGTATCAGATGCGTAAACCACGATGTAGTCTCCCTGACATCTACGAGTATAATATAGGTAGACGTAAATGGGCGAAAACACATCTCACGTGGAATTTCCAGCTAGCGGATCCACAAACCTTGCAAACTACCGAATTCGCGTTCTCGCTATGGGCAGCTAATTCATCTTTATCGTTCGAACGTAAAACGGTAAATCCCGATATCTTGATATCTTATCGTAGTGGGACACACACGTACGCTGATCGTAGACGCAACGAAGAAATTTGCACCTCTTCGTTAGATGGACCTGGTGGAGTACTCGCTCACGCGTTCTATCCTCCTACCGTTAACAATTACAGCAGTGAAATACACATAGATAGTGCAGAACCGTGGCATATATATCTAACTGACAAATCTGCTAGTAGTAACAAGGACTATCTGCTTAACACGTTAATACATGAAATTGGACACTCATTAGGATTACCACACAGTTCGCGTGAAGAATCCATAATGTTCGCAGTTGTCACTGCTAGGAATAATAATAATATCGTTAAACTGAACATAGAAGACATTTTAGCCATTCAACAACTTTATGGAATTAAAAATCCAAAACCAACAACAACAACAACAACCACACAACCACCAACTACTGAAATTACAACAAATACACCCACGTACATAGATCTCTGTACTTTACAATATGTGGATACGGTGTTGGTATTACATCATCGAATATTCGTCACGTATCAACGCTACGTATGGTCGATAGATATAAATGATGCAAAATACGATGGACCACACATACTAAACAGTTACATGGATTTCCTTCCGAATAATTTCTCCTTATCAGCAGCATATCAAAGACCTTCGGGTGAACTAGTACTGTTCATACACGATATAATTTACATGGTTGAGTATCCCAGTTTCAAATTAAAAGAAGGCTGGCCAAAACGTCTCTCAAGTCTAGGATTTCCCCCGAACATTTTCATCAATACCGTAGTAAATACTAACAGAGGACAAACCTATGTGATCTTCAATAATAACGATGTGGCGCAAATAGATGAATGCAATATGAGTGTTCGTTCATATCACTCGTTACAAGCGGTATTTCCGGGAATACCGTCAGCTCCCACCTTAGCCTTCCGATATATGGATGGTAATCTGTACTTTGCTAAAAAACAACAATTCTACCAATTTAACGAGTTCACGAGAACTGTAACAAAAGCTGGTAAATTTAATATAAACATACTCAACGTCGAATGTTCGAAAGATCGATTATTGCAACAAATGCAGAATATCTTGAGTCGACTACTTCGATCGAGTACTACATAAAACACAACGAGAAATAAGAAGGAGGAGGAGAGGGGAAAGATGGAAGGACATATATAATCAATACTATAATAGTTTTAAACGATTAGTATACAAGGAACAGTCATTCCGACAACATCCACGTGTTCGATCGTGAGGATAATACTGTAAGAATACACGCCAATGCTCAACAACGCGGATATTGAAAAGTATCTCATGGAACAGAACAATCTTAACGAAGGAGGTGTGAAGAGACCATTCGAAGATGAAAATCTTAATAATGAAAACACATCAAATAAGTATTTTTTCTTTGCATCCTTTTTTCCATTCACTCATTTTTTTTTCTTTAATTACAGACATCAAATCACACATCGTTCTATCGTACGCATTCTCGAGAGAAGATATCCGTTAACCGTAACTGGCTACAAATACTTGAACATTGGTATTAATGTCAAACTCCCTTCTTACGTAACTATCATTTTGGGAGATTCTCACGGTAAAGAGATTCCGCTTTCACCGGACATCTGGAAAGAGCTTCTTGAACAAAAACACGTCATTTTGTCCCTTTTGCAGTACGATGAGAATAATAGAGGAATACGCGCGACGCCGTCTCCATTGTATATTGGAAATTTAACGTTACGCTTCGGACGAATCAATAATCTACCAATACTGCGCTTAGAAACAAGTACAGCTCGTCTATCCATGTCTAAAAGCACTGTACTTAATATATTTAACCTTGAATACTGTGTGAATCGTCTCATTTCCTCCTTAACCGCAATGACTGATAACGTTGATAAAAAATTTTCACGGCTTCTCGCTATCGCGTCCACTGTCACGAAATCTGCGAACATGTTGAAAATGATGTATGATGACGAATCCTTCGACCGCAACAACATCCTCGATTGTGAGTTGATTGCTCTGGTTTTCGGAGAGCATTAATTATGTACACCATTCGATAATAAATACTATTCTATTAATTATAAAACACTTTTATTTATTTACCCTACTTTATACAATACATTTACTTATATTCGTATAGTTTAAAGGAAAAGGAAATGGTCTATAATGTTTCAAGGAAAAAAAAATGATCTCGCTACAGCAAGGAATGCTTTTTCAGCGTCAGTATTACATTGTCTGTTGAGTGAGTAGTGTCAGTGAAAAAAACTTTTTAATAAAAATGTTCCTACGTGAGCCTCCCAAAAGGGAGGAATTCTATGTGCATGAAGGAGAAGAGGAGGAAATGCTACCGTCTCCTCCTGAAAATAATAATCTATCGCCTCCTCCTTTGGAAAATAATATTAATGAAGAAGAGGAGGAAATGCTACCGTCTTTTCCTGAAAATAATAATCTATCGCCTCCTCCTTTGGAAAATAATCAGCAAGAAGAGGAGGAGAATGAAGAAGAGGAGAATGAAGAAAATGCAGAGGAAGACGAACAGGATCCACATCCTTCCCCTCCCCTGGAAAGAAATAATTGGGACGATGTTGATCCCAACGTTCTCGTCCAAAACATGATGCACCTTATCAGCTATTTTCAAGAGGTGCATCCTGAATGGGACGAGGTCGAATAAAAATCAACTTCTGGGAGGTAGTGTTGCTGGCTGCTGGCTAGGTAAGTTAAAGTGAATGTGAGTGAGTGAGTGAGTGATCAAACGGCACCGGTGTGAGAGCGAACGGGTGTTGACGCATCCGATAAGGATGTGGTATCCACCCAGGAAAAACTGTGTAACAATCATTCCTATTTTTTAATATTTCTTTTTTTTCTTTAAAACACATACGTCACGACACGTATATATTTTTCTTTAAAAAAAAATGACACATCCACATTACAATACCGCGTCGTCTCTTTGTCGGCGTTATAGCGACCAGTTTTCCCCCCCGGCCCCTCACCCCGCGGAGTATCCCGTGGGTGAGGATATACCCTTGCTTTGCTACGGATGTGGTTTCTATCGAGG